GGGTGGGGGGCCGCCATCTTGGTGCGGGGCTCAGCGTCAGCACCCGGCTGCGAGCCCGGGGGGCGGGGCGATTGCCTGGCAGGGGGCGGGGTCTCTGGCGGGCGCGGGGGCGGAGCGTTTTAGTGACGCACCGGGGACTTTACGGGCTGTCTCCGCCCCGCGGGGCTCTAATGAAAGCTGGAGAGAAACCAGCTCCGGCTGCCGTGACACACGTGATGCTTATTGCGTGGTCAAGCGCCCAGTAGGTGTAGACCAGCCATACCTGCCAAGCACCGGCACCGACTTTTAATTTCACCGTGGGGTGGCAGGATTGCCAACTCTCAGGGTTTTTGACGTTGTTGTTAAAGTCGATGCTTCAGGCATGTGAAAAACGGAGCTTTCTTTTAGTCATATATATAAATGTCCATAGAAGAAAGAGCCACGTTTTTCACCTTTCTGAATGCACTGCCAAAAATCATGAGCGCTGGCAATGGTGGTGTGGGCCAAAGAGGATAGGCTCGTGGAAAGTTTTACACATTTCAGCCCTCTTCCCCAGGGGTCCAGGGCCCGTGGCCCTCACACTCAGTGCCTCTGGTGCCAAGTCATTAGCTTGTGAGAAAAATGACCCTCCAGCTGCAGAAGGAGCCAACCAGCTATCCAGTTAGTGCTTGGAAATGGGCCCCCAGTCCATGCCGGTTGCTGTCCAGCTCTCGCTCCAACCCGTAGCAGGGCCCTAATAGAATGGTGACACATTTCCAAGCACTGACTTGTAGAGCTGGTTGGCTCCTTTTGTAACTGGAGTCATGCTTATCCGGTGGTAATGATTTTGCATGTGTGGCCGGTTGACATTTGTTGCACAATTCGTGTTAATGGTGTGATAAATCCTTTGCACTTATGGCCTGCCTTAAGTGCAAGGGCCAGTCTGAATGTATTGTGTGATTCACCTGTTAATTGTGCAATATAGGTAATGTGTAGCAGGGGCCTTAGAGGAGCTGCCGAGTGGACATGGACATTTAAAAAGCAAAAAACCCCAAATGGTAGGTTAGAGGATGCTCCACTTGTACCCTCTAAGATATTGCAAATCACAGACCAAAACAACACTGGCCCTGAATCTTTCACAGGGCTACTCTCCAGGTACAAAGGTTGTCTGCAGAAAAGATGTCATTGTGGACCCCGCTTGCTGTGCTTAGTGAAACCCCCTGACTAAACTGACCATAAGGAATTGCTGGACATCATCTGGGAAATCTGGGACACTGCCCCTCCTCGTGCTCTCACAAGTTGGCAGGGGCGAGTCACCATGCCAGCAATGACTGCCTGCCCACTTGCTCCATGCCACCCCAACTCCTACCCAGACTGCGTCCCAAGCCCCTGTGTTTCTGGGACACCCATTTCTCAACAGCCAGTCAAGACCAGCCCCTGAAATCTGGGACTGTCCCAGCTACAATGGGACATATGGTCACCCTACTCATCACCTTTTGCCTTCATCTGCGGTGTGGCCAAATGCAGTTTTTGCTCGTGCCAGGGTTAAAAGGTATTGGACTAAGTCATTGTGGCCAGATTCAGTGGGCGAAGAAACACAAGTGGAGACTAGGATTGTATTATATGGCTTTCACTGAGGTGTGCTTGGGTCTTCTGTGGACTCCTGGCCTGGTGCTAAGCATGTGAGGGCCCAAGGGCCCTGGCCCCCCTCATGAAGAAGTCTGTCACCTGCATAAAACTTTTCACCATCAGATGTCCATCATCTTAGTGCTCCCGCCCCTAGCAAAAATAAATTTAGCACCTGTGTTCCTGCCTATAAAAAATATGTTGTGAGACTTAAAATCCATGTGTAGCCATGCGGCTAAGGATGAGAGGATCTAGGCAGGACCCCTGGATTCTGCAGCCATTTCTTAGCTATGCATGGATCTTCCTGCTACGTACTGAGATTCCTCTCATTGTCTCTGTTTTCATCCCTCCCATTATTTTAATTAGTTGTGGCAATTATGGTGCTAGTATCTTACAAGATACAGCTGGAATGTTGCAGTCATGAGAGTGACATGCCGTTTTTGTGCCTGGGCTGCTGTCGCACGCAACAGATGACCCCACTTGAGCTGTGCCTAAACAGGGGCGGAGACTACTGATCTTCCTCCCAGGGGCAGACAGGTTACCACCAACCTTAATAGATCAGTCCTGGAGGAGGAGGAGGAGAAAAACTGCAATGAGAGGGTGTGGTTGCAGTCAGCTGTGTTTGCAAACAAAGCATGCCTCCAGCCTCATTGGGCATGATCTTCAAGGTAAAAGGAGGGGGAAAGGGAACAGGTCCACATGTCACAGCCTGATGGGAGCTGTAGTTCAGTAGCTCCTGCGCGGTTGTGTGAGACTGTTTCTAGCCCTGTCAGCAATGCCCCGAGAAGTGCTGTGCAAACACCAATTAAAAGAGTATCGCCAGGGCAGCAGATACTTGTCCTCCCTGTTTGGCAGCTGAAAAAATGAGATCTGCTGAAATCCAATCCAAGCAGTAGCCAGGCCAAGTGATATGACTGAGGCCCCACTGTGAGTCAGTGGCAGAGGCAAGGGTTGGCAGAGATGCCAGGACATTCTTGGCCCCAAACCTCTCGCCTGGAGTATGAAACCCTCTCGTGACCATGAAGTGCCTATGTTCAGAGTCTGCCTGAGCCGTGTCCCTCTGTATTTCCACACAGCCATGAATGTGTCTGAAGCTGTGGGAGAAAGCAATCAGGACTCGTAGTAGAGGTGATATCCTTTATTAGACCAACAAGATTTTTGCGGGGAAAAAATCTTTAATTGCAAAAATCTTGTTGGTCTAATAAAAGATATCATCTCTACTACGAGTCCTCATTGTTTTTTCCTCTAGACTAATACGGCTACAACCTGGATACCTGAAGCTGTGGGACGCATGCAGGGCCTGAGGTGCGGCACGGCTCTGCCACTCAAAGCGTACTCCCACCACCCAGGAGCCTGAGTGGCCGGGCAAGTAGGCAAGAGGTCAGCTAGTACCAGCCTGCTTCCTTCCACCCCGGGACTACATCTCCCATCAGACCCCTGGCGCAGCGGATGCCGCCTTACAGGCGGCCTGGGTGCCCGGGGCATGCTGGGAACTGTAGGCCCGCCAGAGCCGCTGCCTCAGAGGGGCTGCTGGGGGGTGCCGGGAGCGACCACTCCGGACTGCTGCTCCCGCGGGGCCTGCCGGGAGTGGTGGCGGCAGTGGGCCGCGCGAGGCATGCCGGGAGGTGTAGTCCGGAGGGGAGGGTGTTGTGGACTCGGTGTCCCGTGATGCCCCGCGGCTGTTTCTGACGCCAG